TCTAATGCTTGTGTATTATATATCGTGTAGTGCACCAAACAACCTCCTAGCACACTAGTCTGTGGATACTACGCTTGCGAGTACCTCAAAGCATGCAGCAGATTCAGCCACAGCTGGTGCCAGCTCAAGAAAGCATAAAGGTGGTGGAAGAAGGAAAAGATTGACCACAAGAGCATCACTCAAACAATAGCGGAATATGTAAGTTTATCATGGACTCCAACGTGTAGGTTGGGGAACATTCTTTAACACGGAGAGCGAGTTGGCGACAGAGGAGAAGCACGAGAAGTTAAGAGACTGGAGAACCATGGGCATGATGGATTACAAGTTGCCGGACATCTTTGATTAGGTGACCTTAGTTGCTCATGTATGAATATGTGATGTGTGTTTGTGAAACAATGATGAAGACATCTGTAATGTAATAACTTAATGTTGGTTCGTCGAACGAGAATGAATGTAATATATGTTTGTCCTCTATTTTCTGCTTTATCTGTGTTTTCATTAGCGAAATTCAAATTCAAATTCAAATTTGAAAAAGCATTTTTTTAAATCTGGAAATCATTAACGAAGGCGGACGACTTTAGTCAACCGCCTCGGTTAAAATCTTAACCGAGGCGGGCTGGTTAAGGAAACCGCCTCGGTTAATATGTATTAACCGAGACGGTTGGATTATGATGACTGTCTCGGTTAATCGATTAACCGAGGCGGTTGGCCAATCGAGACGGTTAAGACCACGATTAACCGTGACATTTTGACTGGTTCGCTTGTCCATTTCAGTTAAGGCTTTCTGTCCGCCACGCCTGTAGCATTGGATGCACGATCAAGGAAGCTCAAACATTTACAACATTGGACTTGTTGCTTGTCTGAATTCTGGAGGAATCTGGATGGTTTGGAGGAATGCTAGAGGAATTTGTGAGAGAAAAACACGGTTCCAGATAAAAAAAATAAGCGGATCAAGCCGGGTTTAAGGGCACGCGAAGAGGCCCATTATCACACGAGCTCGCTGCACCCCCACGTCGTCTCTGTGAGGCGACTCGGGGGGCGATCCACCGCCGCCGCCGAAGGCCCATCGGGGCCACCCCTCCGGCCGCCATCGCCGCCCCTTTCGGCGTGCGGTGGCGGCGGCCCGTGGTTGTACTGCTTAAAAAGGTAGCCACCGTAGCTTCCTCGCCCTTTCCACCGCCTCTCCTCCCCTTGTCCTCCCCGTGCTTTCCCTTTCTTCCGGCGGCGCAACTTGGTTGCCAGCGCTCCTGAACTCCGGATCTGCCCCACGGCAGGCCTGTGCCGGCAGGATCTGGCGCCAGGTGGCTTGGCGATGAGATCCTGCGTGCGCTCGCCAGAGGCGGCCGGGGCTGCAGTCCTGCGGCCTGCCGCGCCTCCTTGGCGGCCGGCAGGCCAGACGGCCGTGTCCAGCACGTAGGCAGCCCACAGCGGCAGGTGGCCTGTCGGGCCGGCCGGGCATCTAGTCGGATTCACCGCTCCCCTCGGTTAGTCCTGGTGCTAAAGCTCTGTGATGCCAGTGCCTCTACTTCTTGTGCGTGTGCAGGGCCTGGTCGCGCGCGGTTTGGTCACGAGCATGCTGGCGGTGGGGCTGCGTGACCATGGTGTCCCTGCGTCGGATCTGGCGACCTCCCTTCCGGATCTGGTGAAACTGCTACTGTCCTCTCATTTCCAGGGCACAGATGGTACTCCGGCAGCAGTTTCTTTTACACGTGAGTGCGCGCTGCATGCGGCTTGGCCGCGAGCGAGCCGGCGGCGGGGCTGCGTGTCCGTGGGCGCCCTCCCCCTGTGCCTCTCGTCCGGGAGGGCAGAGCGCTGTCTCAGCAAAACGATGACATCGACCATGTCTGTGCCTGCAGCGGCGATGAGCCGATGACAGCGTGGCGGCAGCGTCGGGGCGTCAGTTCCGGAGTCCAGATGAGCCAACAATGCCATTTGTTGCCTCTTCTGTGAGAGCTCTTGTGAAAGTTCTGGGCAAAAGCTCAGCTCGGCCCTTGGCTGGGCCAGCAACGATGGATTCCCTTCTTGTAGGCGTCGTTGAAGAACATCTTGTAGACTCCTGACCATTTGCGGCTATCCTCGGTACAAGACTCGGGTGAAAGACTTGCTAAGCTCCTGCTTGGCCGACGATGATTACGGTCTCGCGCCGTTCACCTCCACGGAGGCATAGTTAAAGAGTTCTCGTGCCTTGTGTTACAGATGTTCTCTTCTTACTGGTGTTTTGTGGTTGTGCCAGCATTCGCCCTTAAGCTGGGGCAATTGTTGTGTTTTTTTTTGTTTTTAGTGGATATGCTACGAGCTTGCCCTCTTGCCGGGGCTATTGTATGGTTGTAGGCCGGTTTTAAAAAATAGAAATGTTATGCAATACACGTGTTTTAGAAGAAAAAACACATGGGTTTTTTTTCTCTTTGCTTTGGCTGTATGTCTGTTGCTTTGGCTGGTTGCGCGTGCGTGGAAACAGTCCCTGTGGGCTGACGCCTGACGGAGACGGAGAAAAAAAATAAGACCCTGTGACGGAGCCAGGAGCTTCGACATGACGGCACCAGCAGGGTACCTCTTCCTCTATGATTTGTGATTTGTCTTTTTATAGAAAGAAATTATTTTTTATGATCTGTGGATCTATGGTCTTGTGATTTGTGATTGTCTGGAGATAGAAGAAGGCTGAATGTAGAAGGAGGATGGAGGCTGTTGGATCTTAATTCTATGCTGAAAAAATTTATGTGTTGAAACTATATAAAACACATGATTGTTGGGTAGACAGACTCTTAAAAAAATATAACCGGACGATAGGGTTCTGTCTCATTTTTTCCAAAAAATGAGGATGTTAATTCTATATCAATATATATTCAGGCGGGGATCTCCCCCCTTCCCCGGACAGTTCAAAAAAAATATTTACAACATTTTATCTCTAATAAAAAGAACCCATTTTCACCGTGCCTTTTTATTGATCTCACATTCTGACATACTCTCTCGGTCCCACAGAAAATGTAATTCTTGAATGACACTAGTAGATTCAGTAGGACCTGTCATCACAACTCATCGGAAATGCAGATTTAGTTTCACTTCACGATTCAGACACATACAATCGAGATAATATAAGAGATCTCATAATACAAGGCCTTGAAATAATTACTTTCCACCTCTGCCTAACAAGAAACACAGCCACAAGATGATTCAACTTGCGATGTACTGTACTACTATAGCTGATGGATACTTGTTGATTCAGTGCCACTGAACTCAAGGGCTGTACGTATGATCACTACTGCACGATTGAAACGAGTGGTTAGGTTAGAGTTTGAAGAGTCTCCTGCGGCGTCGCTGTGGGTGTCTACTCGCCTGGCTGGACACTCCCTATCGGCCTATCCTTTGCTGCCATTCTTCGCTTGCTCGTATACGATCGTAGATTATAAGATAGAACAGTATCTTTCTCTCACATCAAATCAGTCAGTAGTAAATAATCTACGATCATTACGGCCTGCCAAACAAGCTACATGTTCATCCTGGTACGAGGCTGATATATATGGGCCACTCTGTGTGGTTGCAGTGTCGAGCCGGCTCAAATATCAAAACTGCAGCATCGCGCCGTTTAGTTGTGGTCTTATTGTGCAGCTCAAATATTAATGAATAGAGCCGAGATCCCTTATGATTTTTTTTCATTACATGCATGAATTAATTAAAAAATAACGTGAAAGTAGAATTGTTCTCTCTCCATGAGTTGATTGATTTGTTCTGTTACTTGAGTCATGGGGTCTAAAAGATTATCTATACTAAAATGTTATTGTTCATTTTTGGTTGATTCATTAACAAAATGTATGACATTCTTTAAAACAACAACCATAAACAAGTGTATGTCATTACGGCCACAACAAATCATACAGAGATCCACGATCAAGGATCCGAGCTAACCTAGAAGGTTGTTACAATAAACATTTTTTTTAATGTCACGGGGGTTACTCCCCACCTGAATATATATTGATATAGCCCAAAACGGCTCGTTTTATATTTTACAATCATTGGGAGGAAACAAACAACAGCAATAGCAAAACGGCCCAGCACCGGGCCAAAAAGTGGCAGAACCACAAATACACTAGCGAAAATGCAGAGACTACCACACCACCGCACATGAGCTCTTCGACGATGCCTATAGAGAGGTGAATGACGTCAAAACATAATCATCGTCAGCCAAGCAGGAGCTTGGCAAAGCTTTCGCCCGAGTCTTGTGCCGGGGTAACTGCATTGATCGGGCCGAGCGAAGAGAAGCAGCAGTAATAGGTTCTTTAGTGACACCTTCAAGAAGGAAATCCTCGTCACTGGCCCAGACTAATCTGAGCTCAGAACCTTTGACGGTGCTCCAGTTGACCCGTCCGCGACGGAGGGAGGCGCGCACAAGAGGGTGAAGGTGTTGTCGGCCGCCGCCATACCGTGCGGAGCCGTTCCCGGAGTCGCCCGCGATGGTGGGAGGCACGCACCGGCAGGGGGGGCGGCGGCCGCCGCCACACCATGCGGAGCCGTTCCCGGACTCACCCACGATAGTGGGAGGCGCGCACCGGTAAACGTTGGCGCCTGAACGGAGGAGGTTGTCGGCCGCCGTCACACCATGCGGAGCCGTTCTCGAACTCGCACGCGATGGTGGGAGGCGCGCCCCGGCAGGGGGTGCCGGCCGCCACCACACCACGCGGAGCCGTTCCTGGACTCGCCCGCGACGGTGGGAGGCGCGCACCGGCAGGGGGTGCTGGCCGCCGCCACACCGTGCGGAGCCGTTCACGGACTCGCCCGCGACGATGGGAGGCACACACCGGCGAACGCCGGCGCCAGGACGGAGGAGGGCGCCAGCCACCGCCACACCGTGCGGAGCCGTTCCCGGACTCGCCCGCAATGGTGCAAGGCGCGCACCGGCTGGGGGTGCCGGCCGCCGCCACACCGCACGGTGCCATTTCCGGACTCATCCGCGACGATGGGAGGCGCGCACCGACATCGTCTGCACCTGGACGAAGGAGGAGCCCATGACGACCACGTCGTGCGAGGCCAGCATGGAGAAAGGGAGGGTGCCGACAGCCGCCACACAAGGGCACCACACGGGGATGATTGGTAGAGGTCGATGCCGGCAAATACGTCCGCGCCAACTGGCTCGCAGCCCTCCCCGACAAGAGGCAGAGGAGGCCCTCAACGGCCGGAAAACGACCAGGGAGAGCAGCACAGAGGGGAGGGTGCACACGGCCACGCAGCCCCGCCGCCGGCATGCCCGCGGCCAAACTGCGCGCACCACGCTGATGTTGGGCCCCTGCACGCGCACGCATAGAATGAGCACGCAGCCCCGCCGTCGGCTCGCCCTCGGCCAAACCACGCGCCCCACGCCGCTGCAGGGCCACCCTCAGATCTGGACCGAGACGGAGCCACCGAAACTCCTCACTGGCCGCGAACAACGAGCAGGAGGAGCGGCTGCGCCGACGCAGGACACCGAAACCGGGTCACGGCCGGCAGCACCGAGCGTCAGTGCGCCGCATGCCGCGACCTGGCCGCGTGCCCAGGCGCCCGCCTGCCACAGCAGCAACAGGCCGCGCCCGCAGCGCGAGGGCACGCCGCCACCGCGCTCACGACCGCCCGCAGCGTTGTATGCGGGGCGAGCCCGTAGTGATGCCGCAGCTCAGGCTAGACGCCGTAGTACTGGGCGCCGGATACGGAGGTGGGGAAGGTGGATCCAGTCACGGGGAGGCCGGATCCGCCCTGCCGGCCATCTGAGCCAGCCGGAGACGGGGAAGAAAGGGGCAGCCGCCGGCGCTATCGGGGTAGAGGAAAATGGCAGATCCGGTCACCGGCGTTCCGGATCCGCGCGGCCGGCTGCTGCTGCGCACGCCACGAGGAGACCGGAGGAGGCGATGGAGGGAGAAGGGCCGGAGCAACGCGCAGCCGTCAAGCCGCACCATGGGCTGAGCACACGCCCGGAGAGACCTCGCCGCCGCCGTCCTTGGGAGCTGCACGGGCTTCCGGCGGCTGCCTCCAGCAGCAACGAGGCGCAGCTGTGCTGGCGAGGGGCTGCGGCGGCTGGGGTAGGTGAGGCGCCGCCCGTGTCGCCCTGTACGGAGAGCGACGCGGGGGCCGTCCACAGTGCTCTCTCTTATCGTTACAACATTTTATTTCCAACTAGTAGAAATGCACGTGTGGCAGGCATTTGTCTCATAAAAAAAGTTCCTTAATAGGGGAATAACAAATACACGTTTCGAAGTTAATTTCTATAGCACGTAAAATATTATGCTCATGGGGACATTGTATAGAGACAAATTCAATCCTTATGACAAATTTCTTTTGTTCATTACAAATACCCGTATGATATAATGTAGTGCCTTCTCTCAAAAAAAAATGTAGTGCCGAGTTGACAACCTATAACATGAGCAGAGTATAATGCTTGGACCCAACACATGAAGCCTCTTCCTCCCTTTGTCCCTTCTCTCCCTCAACCAACATATATATCCAAGTTGTTATTAAAAAAACATATATATCCAACTACCACGATAACCATCTCTCTATGCTTTGTAACACATGTACATAGTCACCTTGTCAAATAAATCCTTCTAAGAAGGCTGACACTAATCTTGTTAGAGAAATCTATTCTCCAAACCCTAACCCAACCTCACTCAAACTCGTGAAGCCTACTGGAATTAGAGAGAAGGGTAAAGAGGTCAAGCAATAAAATTTGGTGTGGAGTAAAAAAAAAACCACGAATGAGACAAAAAAAAAACATAAATATGCGTGGTATTTAAACAATAGTTCTCAATTGAATATAAGATCACCAAATATGAGCAACGTCTAACCCGTGTATCTTTATTACTCTGAAATAATGTTTATTGGTACAACAAAAATATTTGATGGGTATGTATGTGTTCATCTTGATAAGATAAAAACATTCCATAATATGAATGAATGATAGGTAATAAAATTGTATGACCAACCATGGATTGTACTATACTGAGTATGCGCGTGTTCTATATTTTTCAATCTAAACAACTCATTCTCTTATTCCATCTCCCAAAAATGCTCGACTTCATCTTGATAAGATACATTCCAAAATATGAATGAATGATAGGTAATAAAATTGTATGACCAGCCATGGATTGTACTATACGGAGTATCCGCATGTTCTATATTTTTCAATCTAAACAACTCATCCTCTTATTCCTGTATCTCCCAAAAATGCTCGACAGCTTCCAGATCCATCGCATTTTGGATGCACGGTGAGACACAAGTAGAATTGTAGTATCATTGGTAGAAATTTGTAATTTGAGAAAATAATTACTGCCACCATGTTTAAATATTTCGGAAGCATGGAAGACAGTGAAACTTCATATCCATACAATTATTATTTGATTCAAGTAAACTAAAATCTCTTGTAAATGGAGCACAATAACATACACAAAAAGTTGTCGATTTGAACTAACAGATGAAAAAGGTTATATCCATCAATTAAGACAGAGGAACTTACATCTCACCATATGATAAGCCAAGCCTATGGAACAGGTAATTTAGTTTCTTACTTGTATGCATGGAAAAAATATTTGGAGCACGTCTCTCCAATGTTGCAACTGTCTGAACCACATTTCTCCAAGGCATTATTCCTGAAAAAATAACTGGTAAGGAAATAGCTACAAAACTAAACAAACTTTCCTATGCAGTCTGAAAGCATAACCTTTAAGAGTTGGAAGGCCCATGATGTCTGTACTTCTTAAGTGCAACCAACGCAAAATAAATTAATAGTAACTAAATTCAAAAATAAAAAAGAGTGCGTGTTTCAGAACTTTCGGAGAGCTTTATGCAAGTATTGGCATCCAGACACTTATGAGAGAGCAAAGATCACAAAAATTATTGATTATACTTAGAGGTCACATATAGTTTCAAGACCTGCATTGGTGTAGACTAAATGTAACATTATATTTGGTGAAATTCTAAGTAGCAGAATCATTTTTCTTGATGGTTTTATGCTCAGTTGCTCACAGTTGTTATTGCCTATAACTAGAACATAGATCAAGCTGAAGCTGCATCCAATGGAATTCTAATCAGACCCAAAATGAACAGATAAAAATAGACGAGTAACAAAATGGATCTCAGAAGAAATAAACACCAATTTACCTTTTCTCCAAATAACTTCCCTTTCTTATGGAGTCGTCCACATCCATACTAATGTATCAAAGCCAGTTACGAACAACACATAATCATTACCATTCAGTATAAGCTATTCTGTAATCAGAAAAAGGCATCACACTCCTCCAAGGTTATCTGATTATAATCCTTCATTTTTTGCAAAGTTCGGCTAGGCGGCAACTACTCGGCGACTACGCGCGCCTAGTCGCTGGGCGAAGCCCGTCGCCGCGACTAGGGGCATAGTCACGCATCGCGGCGCTAGGCGGGCGCGAACGCGGCGCGTAGGCGCGCGAGATGAGCGCGAGCTCGAGGGCGGCCAATTTTGGCGCGCCAAATCGGAGCGCGGGAGGAATTCCCGCGCGGCCAGGCCCGCGCGCGGCCACGAGACCTAGGCGCGGGAGGATTAGAAGGGAGCGCGGCGCCATTCGCTCGTCCCCGCGTAAGATTTGGTCGTCCCCGCCGCCGGTCCTCCTCGCCGGGCGAGGTCCATCCCGCCGAACGACCTCCTCCCCGCCGGTCCTGCTCCTCCTCTACTCCTCCCCTGCTCGTCCAAGCTCGTCCTCGACTTGCGCGCCGCCGGTCCTACTCGTCGTCGACTCGCCGCCGCCGTCCTGCTCGTCCTCGACTGGAACCCCTCCCCGCCGGCCACCCCAAGTCCCCAAGGTGAGCTCCCTTCCCTCCCATGCCGGCAGCTCCTCCCCTGCTCATCTCCCCTGTATGACTGAATCTGCATGTGTTTGTTCAGTGAAGAAATATGATCTGGACCATCTCCATCTAGTAGTGAAGCCTTTTGTGATGCCCTGGTCTTATGAACTGCAGCTGTGTCACTTTGTGTCTGTGTGTCTTCTTTTGTGATTTGTGAGACCTGAACTAAGAACTATGTGCTTGTGCTGTCCTTTATTTATAAATTGTGTTGTGCACTTGTATTACTGTCCTATCCACTTGTATTGTAATTACCAGCTGCTGATATGGTGTGCTCATGGATGGGAGGCTGCTGAAATCATCCAGATAAGTCACAACTTAGTATTTTCTATTTTTTTATGAACCTAGCTGTCTATTGACTAATTTACTAACTACTAGCTGTCAAAATGTGTTGCAGGAGCTAGGAACATGCAAGAGTAAGCCAGCTAGGAATCAGATATGTCTACTGGCCCTCTTTTTATACTTACTGTGACTCATATATAGTAGTTATATACATATATATGGTTATATACATAATATATATATAATTTATGGCTATATTGCCAAAACGCCTAGTAAAACGCCTAGGAGCGCCTAGGACCGAGTACTCCTGACTAGGCGCTAGGCAATGGGTCAGCGCCTAGATTCCGCCTAGCGCCTAGCTGAACTTTGATTTTTGTTATGTGTTATAGAGGAGTGCATCACGGTAATATCAGTGCTAGCTTCACCGCTGATTGTTGCCAATGAAGCATGAAGGATGAGAAAGTGATGGACCATATCAATATGGCTTAAATAAACAACTCGAAATGTAGAATAAGACAAAAAAATAACTCGTAACCATTTTGATCCCAGAATCCCAGAAGTTAGAGACTGACGCATTTCTCATGGAGATAGATGGCATTGGATGAGTTGCCCTCGTCAATGGACACAAGTATTCCCTTTAGATAACATACCATCGGACCATGAAAGAACTGGAATAGAGGGGAAAAATAACAGTTCGATATGAATGGCAAAAAACACATTCATCTTCAAATAATTTTATTGGAGTTGGCAGTCTCTTCAACTCAGTAGAACCTCCAGTGTCTTGGGACAAGACACGTTTTCTAGATATATACGTTGCTTTAGTTTCTCTATGTGAGAGCTTATTCGGTCCTCCGGCCCATACTTTGCTTTGCTTAGTGTCAGGGGATGGTAATCCCTCTGCATCTGCCACAGCTTTTATGATTCGACCCTTCAATGGTGATGCCTTTTTGTTCTATAACAGAAATTATTCCACAGAAAGTTGAACAGAAATCTGGTTGCATCCAATTTCGAAATAAAGGTGAACAGAAACAAATGAAAGAACCTGTTTGAATCCGGGTTGAGCTGGAGAGTTGTTTTTTGTTTGACCACGCTGTATGCATAGAAGAGTAGCACACCTTGTATCTACATGTTGTAAAGCGGTGGCCAACATCAACCCACTGTGCTTGATTAGAGACCGACTACATGAACAACAGGCTGTATAATAATCAAACCGAAGTTGCTACACAACATTGACTTGTTAGTTGCCCATCAGACTGCAAGAAGAAATCATTTTTTCAGTCTTGAAACACTCTGGTAACAAAAATGGAACGTAGCAAGCAAAAAACAAATTACGATGGATTGCTGTGGTCAGTTGAAGGCTAGTCAGCAGTCTGCACCCTTGTTGGCTTGAGTCACGGAGACAGAAAAAGGAAATCATTCCTGCCCGTCATTGCTGAGTCACGTTTCCATGATTGAAGCCGGAGAGCGTGGGCCCGTCGAAGATAAAAGGTAGAAGCATGAGGATGCCGTGCTACCTTCGCGGGATGCCTTAAGGAAAGCGTCGTCCTGCGACTCTGCGGCCGCGGCCGTGGTGGCGGCTTCGCCGGATGCATCCTCGGAGAAGAGCCGAGCGGACACCGGCGAGGACACGACCAAACGAGAGGAGGAGGGATCCCGGATCGGGATTGCTGGAGGAGCGGGAACGGATGGCCGGCGCGGATTGGGAGGGGGCGGCGCAAGCACGGTAAGAGCGGCGGGTAGGGTGCGGAGAGGGAACACGTGAAAATCTCAGGCGGTTGCAGGATGCGGATACTACTGCGGCGGCGTTTGGAGACGGGGAAGGAAGCCTGGAAAGTGGAAACCGCCGTGGGTACACGCGGCCGGGTAAGGAATCGCTCAGTGAAAAAACAAATACGACGGGAGTGCGCTGCAGGAGACAAACGTGCTGTCAATGTAAATAGTTTCCGACGAGTTTTTCGATCGTGACCGCTTGTCAGATCAGGATGAAAAATTTAGACGCGTTAGATCAGAGTTTAAAGTCAATCTAAGGGATAAGAATTAAGGCGGATATCAAATATTTAGGTGAGAGGATATTTCTAATTCATTCGTTCTTTATAGCATAGATAGATATAGATAAAGAGAACTCATTTTCTCCCTGCCTTTTATAATTTTATTATTGATGCCACACACGTACACAGTGTACGGCCCACATATTCAAAGTACTTGAGGCAGCTCAAGGCGACGTGAGAACATGCAAGCCCGCCAACTCAACGATTAGACCATGGTAAACATCTACATATCACTAATCTTTCGAGGAGAATAGTGAGAGTTTCCATTTCGGGGCCTTGTTCTCAGGGGTGATCCCTTGAGGAACTCACGGTACCATTTCGATGACAGTTTGGGGGTCCTTTCCTGTGTATTGTAGTCGACATAGTAGACCCCAAATCTCTGTGTGTATCCAGAATTCCACTCAAAGTTGTCAAGAAGAGACCACACGAAGTAACCACGCACATCGGCTCCTTTCCTTCAGAGAGTGAAATGGTCAATAGATCAGAGGCATATGTGATTTAGTCAATGTCCAGAAAGAAAGGAAGAAGAACATGCAGATGCAGCAAAGCATCCAAGGCATTGCTCAAAGCCACAAAGCATTGCTTCTGTTTAACATTGATCGAGAGTTGTGACAGTTACCTTATCGCTGAGGCTAAAGAGGTGAGGTAGCCTTGAAGATAATTGACTCTTCCTGTGTCGTTAGTAAAATCATTGGCAGACATGCTGCTATTGCTTGCTTGAGAATAACCTGTAAAATTCTTATAGCACATCAATTTAGACCATGAATGACTAGCTTAGTTTGTTGGGCCATGTTCCTTTTTTTTTATGTTTATATCGATAAATCCTAATTCTGAAAATCCTCACTCCTCCAATTAGAAATGTTTGTCACATTTAACTTTGCATTATCTTTGATTTGTATCTTTGGCCAGTTTTTTTTTTTGTGCAGATTTTGACGATTATTTCTTAGAATATATTCTTTAAAAAATCAAATTAATGAGATTATTTTCCAAGTATTTTCCAAATGCAAATCTATCATGTACGACTTACATGTTTTCAGTCTAAATGATTTAAAGTCATGTAAGTAAATATGTAAGGTAAAGTACCTGTAACAGTCTTATCAATGTCCTAACACATAGTGTTGTGTGTGATTATTGGATAGTGTCAATACTCAAATTACAGCCATAGAAACATCTAAAATATAATTTCACTTAGAACTAGTGTTTATTCCATCTAGAAAATAAAGACATGGTTAGAAGACATACCATTTTCAGTGACATAAATTGGTGTGTTATTGTATCTTGTTTTCAAATACATGACCACTTTTTCGATCCCGTATGGAACTGTATTAATGTATGGCGACCCTGTCTGCACGAATAAAGATTGCAATAGTTAACAACAACAACAACAACAACAACAACAATAACAATAACAATAACAATAACAACAACAACAATAATAATAATAATAATAATTCTGTTCAGCTTGGACAAAAATCATAATTAGTTTTCTTTTCTTTCTAAAAAATGACCAACAGTTCTACTACTCTGCCTGCTTTAGCATTCACTAAAACACGAGATGGGCATCACCACCTAAGCTAGTCCTACCCAAACCCAGATGAGCACCCAGGCCTCTCCACCATTAAAGCAGTTAGCCAATTCCCTACTTGAAATTTCTTTCAAATAAACTAATATTGCAACAATACATGTTTACCCTTTCACCAATAAGTATTCCATCTCTTTCTGCTGAAGTACTAATTTGGGCATCCCCATCAAATGGATCCAATTCACATGGTGATGATGAGGAGATGCAGTCCTTCAAATAATATGTTGAATAATGATTTAAACCAATGAAATCCAACTTGGATGTCTGTAGTATCTTCTTTTGTTTCAATGTGAATTCAGGTAGATTTGGACCCAAGATCTTGCGCATCGCAGAGGGGTAATCGCCAAGAATTATGGGGTCCAAAAACCTGGCATAATCAAACAAATTAGGCATACTATAAAATTGGAAACTAACTAATAATATTATATGTCTAGGGCTTGTTATTAGAAAATAAAGTGTTATTTGTATTCTTGGCTATCAATATAACAGAAAGATTATTACCATGGAGCGCCAAAAGATAGAGCCCGCTCAACAGCTAAGATGTCTGTTGGGGTATTCCGGAATGGTTCATACCATCTTAATTGAACAGTAATTCCAATACAGCCACCTTGTTTCCCCTGCCAAACAACAACTATATATATTACACAATCTTATTTAATTGGTGTTTTTGTTTTAGTAACTCATTTAATTGGTGTTTTTGTTTCAGTAACACAACCTAATGTGTTTACTTCTATGTATTTCATACCTGGTACTTTTTCTTGTAAATGTTGACCACATTTGCATGAGACAATACCATGTTGTGACCCGCTATGTATGGCTCAGTTGAAGAATTTCCAAAAGTACAGTTCCCAAATGGCCTAGAACAGTGACCAGGAGGGAACCGTCCATAGATATAGCCAAGCTTTGACCACATATTTGGCTCATTAAACGTTATCCAAAATTTTACTCGGTCACCAAACATCCTGAAGCATACATCTGCTAGGTAACCAAAGTCCCTCCTAGAAAGTATTTAGAAATCAGACCAACCAACAAATCAAGAATTAGAAGCCATCTTTATCGCAAATAAAGAAATGGACATACCGAATTTCGGGGCTCAACCATCCACCATATCGTTTTTCCAGTTCATATGGAATGTCAAAATGAGATATCGTCACAAATGGTTCTATGCCTGTTTAAAATGTAGCTCAGAACTCCATATCTTCAAAGTAGTGGTCATTGCATATATCTGTTGAACTAATACCTCTTTGTAGAAGAGCATCAATAAGAGCATTGTAGAATGCTACACCATCTCGATTAACATGCCCGAAGCGGCCTTCTGTAGCAAGAGTTGAATTACATTATCTTTCTTTTTCTAAACAACAATGCAAAACCACGATATATGCCGTAAGAGAGCAATAGACTAGTACATGAACTAAATATTTTTTCAAACTCACTTGGTAGAATCCTTGCCCATGCAATGGAAAATCGATATGAGTTGACACCCAAGGAATGCATCAATTCAATGTCTTCCTGGAGTATAGAAAAATACCTCTGGTCTCAAGTAGTTGAACAGATACCAATATCCATTTGAACATCATCAACTACTACTGTCGATTGTCATTTTATATAGATTACTTAATTACCATCCAACATAAAAGCCATGGAAAATTTGTAGCATACATACCATATAACGATGATAGTGATCATCAGCTGTATCACCATTGGTCCCATCCTCAACTTTACCTAAAAGGATTGAACAAACAAAAGGGGATGACGTAATAAGAACAAAAATGAATTGACATCAAGGAGTTATGTCTAAATTAATTCCTATAGATTATCGTCATGCTTCACCTTTCGTATGGGTGAAAATATCCCAATTGCTTAAGCCTTTGTTACCCTCCAAATATCCACCTTCAATCTGGACAGTCAGATAAGAGTAGCAATAAAAGTTATGGAATAGCTAGCTAGGCATCTCAATATGAAGAAAGCAAGAAAAGATAAGAATGGCATTGGTGATATTTTCATTAGCTGAATAGATGCATCCAACCCGTTAGATGGTTTCCATTAGGATAGGTTCCCTGTTGTCTCTTCAGGGTCTTGGCCTATATGGCTATATATATGCACCATATACATTTTTTGTGAATATATACAACACATATCCCTGGTTTTAACATACAATTTTATTCCATTTTAATCTATCATGGTATCATGAGAGTTCAGTCCAGCGACCAAGAATTAAAATACCAGGTACGCCCACACTCACCTACCTCTGCTTTCTCTATTGTGAGCACCTCCGACCAAGAATGCTCTTCCTATTTATTTTGCGGAAATAGGTAGGTGAGTGTGGGCGTACCTGGTAAGCAGAGGTAGAGGTCCCAAACAGGAAGTCTGGAGGGAACTGGGTGCGATCAATAGCTGATGAAGCGCACAGTAAGAGCTCCTGAGCAAGAAAAAGAAAGAAGGCGAAGCCAATTATTACGCCCTCCATTGCTCGCTGCTGGCTTAGCTGGTTGCTTTGCGACGCCACCAACAGTCTGTGCCCTCTTTATTTATAATCACACGGGGACGCAGCGCGTAGAGGCTTTGAAAGCTTGATTTTTTTTAGTCAGCATTCAATTTTGAAATCTATGGCTCAAATCGGATGTGAGAACGTACGAGGATGTTAGAGCCGTGTAGAATGCACACATGGGAGGAGATTTTTCCGCTTCATTTATTTTTGTTTGCCTTCTGTCCTTCTCGATTATAATGTCCTGGCGTCCAATGTCCACCGACCTGCACAATGTCCTTTACTCCTTTGGAGAGGAACTTGATTGGATGCAGGGCAACGAACGAAATACATATGTAACATGTGAACATATATGTAACACGTGTAGATTCATTAGGACTTATGAGGCTATGACACATACAGCTTGTGGTATAGCTGATGGACGCCAGTAGATTCAGTAGGACGTGTCATCACAGCTCATCAGAAATGCAGATTTAGTTTCACTTCACGATTCAGACATATACATCGAGATAATATAAGAGATTTCATCATAATATAAGGCCTTGAAACCTCTGCCTAACAAGAAACACACAACCACAAAGATGATGCAACTTGAGATACTACAATAGCTGATGGATATATACTTGTTGATTCAGTGGACTGAATTCAAGGGCTGTACGTATGGTCACTGCACAATTGAAAAAACGAGTGGTTAGGTTAGAGTTTGAAGAGTCTTCCTGCGGCGTCGCTGTGGGTGTCTACTCGCCCGGCTGGACGCTCCATATCATGTTCATCCTGGTAGGAGGCTGCTACGGACCACTCTGTGTGGTTGTAGTGCCAAGCCGGCTCAAATATCAAAACTGTAGCATAACGCCGTTTAGTTGTGATCTTGTGCGGTTCAAATATCAATGAATAGTGCTGAAATATATACGGATGAAATCGAAGCATGCACTCTGTCCAAGCTCGGATTGATTACTAATATGGTTTTAGACAATTTGTTAGTATCATTAGTATATGAGTTTTTATGAAAATATTTTTTTATGTGATGAAACATAACATATATATTTATCTTTCATGCATGCTAGCATGACATGTATGCTTACTTTAATCAAATCTTAATATATTAATATTGTATAAGTTGGGTAATGTAGAAACATATATATGCTCTGTGGTTATTTAAACAATTATTTTTATAATAGAAGATACTAACAATTTAGATGTAGATTTAAGGGGATATATAATTTTTCTAATAATGAGATAAAAATTGGGTTAGGTAAGTTATCTATCATAATAGGAGGACATGGGTAATTAGATGCAAATTTAGGTCTACTTTAGACCATATTTCTTAAAGGCATAGGTGGATCATTTAGTCATTTGTTACATTATGTTGTTTCACACAGTAGCAGAGGTGGGTAATTATTTAGAAAATAGAATAAATCCAAAAGCTATTATTATGAATGGTGATTAGGTTATATCAAATTAATGGTCAGATGTTTCTGATATTTGTGAGATTTTTTAGTATCTATCTATTGTTTTTCTATCGAGTCTTGTGATGATTAGCATGGAGGCTCTATTGAGGACCTTATTTAGAATTATAGTGTTTATCTTTTTCTTGGGTGATATATATTTAGTTGAAACCCTTCTGTGACTTGATGAATTTATAGTTTGGCTTTCAACTTTTAATGGAGTTGTTGCAAAATTTTCCACATGTTAAGTACAAATTCTAGTGTTTTTTTTATCTTTTATTTAAATTTTATTTTATTATTAAAAAGAGATTAGGTCCTAGTACTACTATTTTCCACATGTTAAGTTGAAACTCGGCTTGCACCCCGGCACCTTTGTGACGAGCAATTTATAAAATCATTAGGAGATATTTTAAAATACCTTTCATAATGGTAGATGCAGGTAATTTAGATACAAAGTTAGTGGGTATTTGAAATTATATTTCATAACGGAAAAAGATGGGTAATTTAGATGCAATATTATGGGTTTGTTTTGAATTATGTTGCATAGTGACAAAAAAATGTATAATTTATAAGCAAAATTAGGGGTTATTGTGAATTATCTTTCATAGCAACAGATGTGGGTAGTTTATATACAAATTTAGGTGGCTGCTTTGAATTATCTTTTGTAATGGTAGAGGTGGATAATTTAGATGTAGAATTAGGGGATTACTTTATGCATTTTTCATAATGGCAGAAGTGGGTAATTTTTTTATAAATTACAATAGATTCAATGGCTATTATCGACGATGATGATTCGAGTCTACCAAATTAAAGGCTAGATGTTTCTGACTATTGTGAGCATTTCTAGTATTTATTTTTTTTCCTAGCGTGTCTTGTGAGAATTAATGTGATGTCGCATGTTACGTACCTAACAGAGGGGTCACCTAAAACCTTAGATTAGCGTCATGACAGTATGATTAACCCCCTGACAGTATCATCTAGGCGTTCAAGGGCTACACCCGGCATGTGCGCTCGCACACACACTCCTGACACCAATAAAGGCCCGCTAGGCCCGAGACGGCCCACTTCACGAAGCAGCCCCAACGTTTAGGCATCAGGCCTCAAGGGCAAGCCTAAGACTAAGTCCGTACACCTGGAGGCTTTGAAAATTGGGAGGAAAATCCCTGGGTGTTCCCGACCCTGGACAGCCAAAGCCGACCAAAGACGACCCATCGCAGACGTCATTGCATCGTCCTGACCAAGCCTCCTATCCAACGACGTTAGGAATCTTCCTCCAAAATATGATAGATGCCCTAAGCCTAAGACGCGGGTAGAGATGCAGGGCGTGAGGCCCTACCATGACCCTGTCCCCTTGCCACCACGAGGTGGGGTCGGCCACTCCAGGCTCAGGATCATGCTTGGAGCATAACACAACATGACAAGGACACTCGTGCGGCCACTACGCGGGAAGATGCGGGCCTGCCGTTTAGTCTCTCCCTGTATGCATCTTCTCCCATGGCATATGAATTATGCCATGACAAGGACGAGCCCAGGTGAGGCACAACGGCAGCTTCAACTTCTAACGGTCAGCTCTAGGCTCCTGTAGAGGATATCAGAGACAGTTTAGGACTGTTGGCCATGACCATCGATAAGACCATGCCCGACACCGCCAACAAGCCGAAGATTAGGACATGAAACCCTAGTACTCCATTGGGTGACAAGGGTGAGCTTCCAAAACCTTATCTCCTTGTACTCCTCTAGTTGGTAACCCACCAATCAAATCACGTGGTTCTGAACCCACGACAGGGCCTCTAGTTGGTAACAGTAAGATTTTCTTTCAGTCAAAAAACAGTAAGATTTTCCTGAATGACAAATGAAGAGCGTAGGAAGGGAGATTTTGGAAAGACGCCTCATGAACCATCAGGTCAGGGTGTGGTTTATATTATGGCCACAACAAATCATACAGATCCACGATAAGGGAGCTAACCTAAGGTTGTTACAACAAACATGATATTGACAACATTATAATTCTAATAAAGAGAACCCATTTCCTTCCTGCCTTTTATAATTTTATTGATGCCACACACGGCACACATATTCAAAGTACTTGAGACAGCTCACGGTGACGTGAGAACATGCACAATGATTAGACCATGGTAAACATCTACAAATTACTAATCTTTTCAGGAGAATAGTGGGAGTTTCCAGTTTGGGGCCTTGTTCTCAGGAGTGACCCCTTGAGGAACCCATGGTACCATTTGGCAGACAGTTTGGGGTTCCGTTTCTTTGTCTTGTAGTCGACATGGTAGAGCCCAAATCTCTGTGTGTACCCAGAATTCCACTCAAAGTTGTCGAGAAGAGACCACACGAAGTAGCCACGCACATCGGCCCCTTTCCTTTAGAGAGTGAAACGATCGATGGATAAGAGGCATATATATGTGATTTAATCAGTGTCCAGAGAGAAAGGAGGAAGGGCATGCAGATGCAACAACACGCATCAAGGCATTGCTCAATGCAAAGCCCAAAGCGTTGCTTCAACTGTTTTAAGATCGATCGAGAATTGTGACAGTTACCTTATCGCTGAGGCCAAAAAGGTGAGGTAGCCTTGAAGATAATCGACTCTTCCTGTGTCATTGGTAAAATCCTTGGCGATCATGCCGCCATTGCTTGCTTGAGGGTAACCTAAAAAATGTTTACAGCACATGAACATGTCCCTTCGTACTTTCTTTTCCTGTTTATAGGAATGAATCCTAATTTTGAAAGTAGCAAGGTAAGGTTTGAAACAATGATGTAATTTCATATTTGTTGTATGATTTAAGCCTGTCAAAAGATTTGAATACTTGAAAGTAAATATACAGCATTGAGATGATGAATGTGTTTGTTAAAAAGAAATAATCTTCATTAGGCAAAACCGTACAAAAGTCCTGTGAGTATCGTGATAATGTTTAAAATACAAATTTACAATAGTGGAAAAATCGTATAAACCAATCTAGCCATCCAAACGTGTATTTTTATTTATTTCTATCTCAGGTGATATTTCCAACTTAGCCCGTGTTAGATAATCTATCGCTACCTTATGTGAACACTGACAAGGGAAGACAATGACTTAAAAGGCCCCCTATTTGATATCAGAGTGCTTGCAGATTCTTGCAGTGCAAGCCGCAGACGGCTCACTGCAAGACTTTGTAGCCACATACTGAGGAGGTGGCGCAGAGTCAGCCCTGCTGTGTTATCTAATCACTGTTGTAGCATGGCAGCAGTACTAGGACTAGATAGATAGAGTTGTATAAATAAACTGTCACGGCAACTCAGTAAAGAGAGTTCAAATTTGCCATCTCCTATATAGGGCTCCGGTCAACGCTGGTGTCTCTGCTGTGTGTGTATGCTCTGTTCTCCCTTCTTTTACCTCTAGCCATAGTGTGTGGGGACGGACAACACTCGTTCGTGGTCGGCACAGCTAGTGGGTGCTCGGCAACACTAGCAGGTGCTCGGCAAGACTGGTGAGTGGTCGACTCACCTAAGCCGGTGATCCTGTGGGCCAACAAGTGGTATCGGAGC